TGGTAGTAATCAGTGGACTTTTCACATGAAACATTCAACTACCTAGACAAAGTCGCAATAAAACATAAAATGTTTATTTTGAGTTATTGAAAAATCCAAATATACATAAATAACCATCATAAAATATGACATCTTGGTCAAATTTGTCTTATAAAGAAAAGTTTGGTTATTTGATGAAATATATACCAGATCCAACTTCTTTTGAACAAAGTGAATATTTGATTTTAGTACTACTAAGAGATGTTTCCATATTTTTTGAAGTATTATGTCAATGATTGGTACTTTTTTATAACAACTGATAAATCTTGTGTTTCAATTTTAAACTTATACATAATATATTGTCAAAAAGACCTCACCTACCTCCCCCCCCCCCCCCAAAAAAAAAAAAAAAAAAAAAAACAGTAAAGTTTAGCAGAGATAACTAATTTGATAAAATTTAAATCGGCCTTGAAGTATTTACTAATAACTAACTAATACATTTTAACAAAATAAAATTATTAAAGAAGAAGACTACTAGAAATATACATAAACACACCTTACACATGGGTGCAACCAAGACTCCACCGTCCCAGAACTGTGGTTTCTTCATATGTAACCTCAGAACCATTGCTCCCCCCATGGATTCTCCAAGCAATACCCTCAATTTATTTTTATTTTCTTGCTTTTCTGAAAATTAAATTCCCAACTCAAATTCAGCATTTATTTCTTTCTTAATATTATTTTCTCCACAAAAAATCGAGTTCGTATCATTTTGCTTTCTTTTTTTAGAAAATATAATAACAATAATTTGTGATGGTTATCCATCATTCAAAAACAATACCCAAAATCTCGTATTTCCTAGTTTGGCTGGAAATGGTCAAGATTAAAATTCAACCCTTCTTTCCTCATGTATTTTTCTACTAAAAATAGAAATAAAACCTCAAGAACACAATTTTTTTAAAAAAAAAAATAAATAAAACTAACCACAAACGCTTGTGAAAAAATCAGAAGAGTCGTCAACCAGATCACTGAAAGAAGGGATGTAACCCTGAACTCCATCGGATTTTCCATGCCCTTGACAATCTATTCCATAAACTCCAAATCTTGCCTTTACAAGCCTCATTGCAGGTCCTACTTATATAAATTCAACTCATTTAATAATCATTTTCTAATATAAAAAATTTAAATGAATTAAATTTCAGAATAATCAAGCTCGCCTTTCATGGAGAAACTACACTCCATGGCATATCCATGGTTAAGAAAGACTAAAGCTTTCGGTTCGCAATCAACTGGCAGCCATCTGCACGTAAAAAGCTTCACACCCTTTGAATTTGTAATAAATTCCTGAAAAGAAAATAGCAGGATTTTGACGTGTTTCATGCATGATTTCATGAAGAAAGGAAAAACAGAGCAACATGATGGAGAAAAAATAGAAAGATTCGAATTGTACCTCTTCGTATTTGACATTTGCATCTTCGATTGCCTGAGCATCGTGGGAAACAAACAAAAAAAGAATTTGATCATTAAATAAAACATGAATCATGCGAATCTGCAAAAAAGAAAAACATAGGATGGATGCACAGAGACATACCATTAAACAGTGTATGTGTGTATTTGTGTCTGTATTTCTTCAATGAAATAAAAAATAAACTAGTTTTCTGGATCCTGAGATGGCGGGTGGGGGTAGTGCTTAATTGCTTATGGAGTAGGGCGGTTTATACTTTATACTTATAGGGTGCTCAAATGTCTAATTTGGATGGTCAATTGATTACATGTCATTTTATTTAAATTAATGTGTAATAAATAAATAAAAAGACTTGGGTATCGTTACCACTTAAGTATAGGGTGTAACTGAGTTGAGCCAACTTGTGAGATACTCGAGACTGATTCAAAAAATACTCAAAATCGACTCGGCCCAAGTCGAGTCGAGCTTGAGCTCAAGCTACTCGAGTACATAATGGCGCCGAGCTTAAGTATTGGAATACTCGGCTCTTGCGAGTGTAAGATGAGTATTTTCCCATAATATGGCGTACAACCTCTCTATTGATATAAATACACACAATACAATAATGGACTAGGTTACAATGTAAACGGGCTATCTAATACAATATGGGCTACATATATAACTTATACTAAACGACATGCATATACATAAATGTATGCTAACATCTCATCGCAGTGTGAACGGGAGGTCTTGACCGAACGTTTAGACTGGATTGGAAGTCGAGGAAAAGAGGATGGGAGCCCTTTGGTGAAGATATTGACATACTGAGACGAAGAAGGAACATGTAGAACTCGAATATCCCCTAGAGTAACTTGGTCACACACAAAATATATATCAATCTCAATGTGTTTTGTGCGTTGGTGCTGAACCGGATTAGTAGACAAGTAAACTGCACTAACATTGTCGCAGTAGACTAAAGTGGCGGATAGAGGAGGATAAGCGAGTACCCTTAGGAGGTTGCGAAGCCAGCAGGTCTCGACAACAACATTCGCAATACTTCGATACTCGACTTCTACGCTAGATCGAGAGATAGTACTGTTGGATTAGTGTCTAAGCCCGTAACTATATTTGGTAAGTACTTGACCCGGTTGTGCATGGTCCTTTTGGGTTGCCTTCACCATAGCAACTTGACAGGGTGATTTATGAAGAGAGAAGAGACATTATTATATTAATATATTATGAGAATAATATATTAAAGGAATAATAATATTATTTAATTATTATTAGTCATAAATTAATTAGGAATTAATTTGGTGACTAAAAGAGGTTAATTGAATAAAGGAGCTTAAACTATCAATTGTGTGATAGTTGTGTTTTTGGGCTATGAATCCTTATAGAACTAGGGGTGGCCGAAATTAAGG